TCCTATTGCTATAGTTACGGATCAAAAGCAGTAAGAAACAAAAAAATTGAAGAAATTTTTGCTTACCTCAGATCGAAAGCCACGCATCTGACTCGTTTCGTACTGGACTGGAAACTCCGAACCCGGCAACGGAAGAAGCTGCAATGGCCGCGTCCCAGGAGTTAGCGGGTTCCGGCTCACCGGCACCGGCTCACCGTCGAATGTAGGAATATCGGGTAGGGCCCCAGGAATCTCCATCTCCGGAGTATAGGCAGAAGCGGGGATTTCTGAGATTTGAGACATCCTTTCAGTTGAACAATCCAGAGAATTTTCAATCACTTAGGGTTTGTCAATCGCTTAGGGTTTGTGAGTAAGTGAAACTGAATCGGTTATGAAGGAAATTACTTATAGTAAATATCTGGGCCCAAGCCCATTTCTTCAAGCAACGGGTTCAAGCCCATTCTTCCGAGCCCAAAAGAACCGATGGGCCCATTACCTTCTTTCAACACCCAATAAACCCGTGCGGCCCGTTCAAAAGCCCACAACGATCCATTTCGGCAATTTGACGTCGATGTTTTGTCTACTCACCGCACAGGGGGCAGAAACATCAAATTGCCCAGATTACCCTCAGGTAAGTTTTCTTCCAACTACTGTATTATAAAGCATATATCTAAAAATGCAGATAACAAAGAATGGTGCGTTAAATCGTTTATACCGAAATTTTTGTTAATTTTTTTTTTTTTTTGCAAAATAATTAAAGTTATGCCTACAAAGGTGGATATTTTTGGTCCTAGGCTGGAATTCCGGACTGGGGCAAAAAGTATAACCTTTTGCCTTAATATGAATCCCTTTTCATAATTAATGCATGGGAACACGTGACGTTCCAATATTTTTCTAACAAGAGGCAAGCCTAACGGAAGGCAAAGTCTGTTGGTACATTCGGATATTGTCCTTTCTTTGTGAACAATTTTTTCAGGCCAACCGGTGATGGTTTTTCCGAGCCGATAGTCTTACTGATTAGTGATGGTGCATGCGAAGCTAATCAGAACAAACTTCAAACAGTGATGATGTATTGCGAAGCTTGTTTGAAATTTCTTGTCTTCCCCAGTCATGATGTTGAGTTGCGAAGTGACCAGGGTAAAATCCACATCTTTTGGGCCCACAAAAAATACCGAGCCTCGAGGATGCCTTTTCAAAACCGACTGGGGCCTTGACAAAGCCGACCAAACCTGAGCTGAGGAGGTGCCCAGATCAAAGCTCTTCTTGTATTTTGTTGTTGTGGTTTGTTGTGGCTTTATATTGTTTGCTGTTAGTCAAACGTCGATCAAAAACCTGAGGCTTCGAAGAACTTTGTCACCAAAATCGACATTTTTCGAGCCGATCAAACCGAGCTTCGAAGATGTCTCTTCAGAATTCCGGGGAAACCGACCAAAGCCGATCAACAAATAAATCCACTTCTAATCCCATTCTACCCCAACCGGGTTTGGTTCAGCCCGACTCAACTCACCTCTATGAAATGACTCGACTCAATAGGATGTCACACCCTTGGACTCCATGGATGAGTGATGGTGGATCCGTATCATCCCCCCTTTTTTAAAAAGATTTGTCCTCAAATCTGCATCCATGTCAAAAGGAGATAAATCACTAATATTGAAAGTGGCAGAAACACCATACTCACCTTGTGTTGACGCGTGATTTTATGCCTCCACCTGACCCGATGATGATATGAGGACAAGGGACAAGGTATCACGATAAACTAGAAGTGTTTGAACCAAACCAAAGGGGTCTGACCCGTGTTAGGGCTGCGTCACGCAGCCGTGTTAGGGCTGGCGTCAACGCAGCTAGGACCCGCGTTAGGGTTGCGTCACGCAGCTATTACCTGCGTGACGGCACTATTAGCTGCGTCACGCAGCTCTAACAGGGCTGACACCTCTAGCGCGCACCCGTGCAACGGCCTGCACTGTTTGTATAGATACGCGGCAACTGTACGAAAGTAAGTCGCGTCACGCAGCTTATACCTGTGTGACGCGACTGCCCTATTGCCCTAGCCATATAAATACAACATTTCGCAGCAAAAACGGGGCTTTTGACATTTTCCCTGATTCTTAGCTCTAAAAAATTGAAAAAGCTTTAACCTAAGTTTATAAAACGGCTAGGGTTTTCCTTCCCCAAGAACTCAAGTGAGTAAAAGATCTAAACTATAGTTTGTGATAAAACCGGCTTAGGGTTTCTTCCGCCAAGAGCTCAAGTGAGTAAACTTAGCGGAAGATCAAGCCTTAACAGTTTAGTTTTGAAGAATCAAAAGCATAAAAATATTTAGTAAAGAAAAAGAGAGAAAAGAAAGAAAAGATCAAAACGTTTGCTTGTGAAAAATCTTCGATATCACATTCCTGGAAATCGTGAAAACAACGTGTCCTAAGCTAAATCTTAGCGCATGCAAATCCTCGAATCTGAGGGCAAGGTAACCATTCTAAACATTATCTTTAATTTCTAGGCATTTTAATTCCTTAAAAAATCTCATTTTTTCAGTAGTTGGTTAAGTTTTGGTATTGTGGTTAAACGCCGTTTTGCCCATTTTTGAGTAAATTATCTGAGTTGTGTTAAAAACCATTGTTAACAAAAAGGAACGTAAAAAAGGGAAGTTTGAAAGGTAGTTGGCGACCAGAGCAGCCACGTCAGCAGCTACACTGCGTGACGTGACTGTTCATGTCAAAGTCTTTGAATTCGGACTGGACCAAACCTGCGTGACGCAGCTATTTGTGTACCCAGTATACTTTTAATTCTCAGATTTATATTTATGTGATATTTTGATAAATATGGATAAATAATCAATAAAGCTGAGAATTTCAATAAGTCATGAATAGTTCTGTCACGTAGCTAGGAGTTCCGTCACGCGACTGTTCTTCATAGAACAGCTGCGTGACACAACTGTACCTATTTCCAGTAATATAACAACAGTTGCGCCACGCGACTGTTCTTCATAGAATACCCACGTGACGCGACTGTTCTAAAGTTCCAGAATGAATAAGGTTAGTTGCGCCACGCGACTGTTCTTCATGGAACAGCTGCAAGATGCGACTGTCTTAAGATTCTAGAATAATTTCCTTATTTCGCTTTAATTTCATGTTACTAAGTAGATTTTAATCTTAACTCAGAAAATGATTAATTATGGGCAAACTAAGATTTAATCAAACCAAATCAATTAATCATTAATGATTATGAGGTTTTTTAGGATTTATTTCTCTTTGTTTATTATTAATTATATTATCAAATTCTGTTTGTGGCCCGCCTTTAACCATAAGGCAAGGCGGGTCTTTTTATTTTATTTGATATGTATTATGGATGGATGATGGATGATATGCTTTATTTGTGATGAATGCAATGGATGGACCTAATTGGGATGATTAATTAATTTTCTACATAGGAGCTCGGTTCGATTTAATCGGGTTGGGACTTAATTAAATAATTGGCTTTTCTAAAATAAAATCAAATTAGAAAAATAAAATCAAATTAGAAATCATAGGTTAAAAGAAGGCCGATTTTTTCCCGGCATTGGCTTCAATGGGCCGACGTACCTAATTCCCTTACTAGAATCGTACTTGGTACGCCTGACAGTTTTATTTCCAAAAATAAAAGGCCTCAAATAATATGGGTTAAAATGGAGTCCACTTTTATAAATTAAAAAATGGAAATGGTCCTATTGCTTGCCGAAAAAATGGGTGGCGACTAAAAATAATTTATAAGACCGATTTATCGGCATTCGCATCCAAAAAGGTTTTTTATCACCACGATTTCCAAAATATGCATCAAAAACATATAAAATCTTATGGTGATTTTCTCCAGGGGAAAACAAAGGGTTTTTGATATGAAAAATGTAATAAATTACATGAGAATAATAACTTGATGCGAAAGCTATATGGTTTCACTCATGGGGGTTTTCATTAGTTAATGAATTCAGAAACAAACCATAAAACTTAGTGATAAAACTTAGTGATTTAATTCATGTTTGATTGCACTATTGGAAGATAGGTAATTAGACCGAGTTAAAATAGCTAACAATACATCAGGAGAGCTTGTTTGTGATTTTAGGGTTATTTCCCCTATTTGAACAATTAAAATTGATTAATGAACTAATATATAAATTGGATAGAATTAAGTGAAGTCAAAATCCCTAATAGTTTTTAATACTTGATTCTTTTAATCAAAAATTGTCTTTGTCTTGCTTGATTTCTTCTTATTCTCTTTTATTTATTAAAGTTAGTTCTTAAATATAATTCCCCTTATTGTCGTTTAAATAATAATAGGTTAACATTCTATATTACTTGTTGCGATTCGAACACTTGTGAAAATCAGTGTCAAATTTTTGGCGCCGTTGCCGGGGATTGACGTTACCAGTATCAATACTAATTGCCTTATTATTAATTTAGACATTTATTCTTATTTTTAATTTTTCTAGAAGATTATTTCAGGTGTTTATGCAAAGAAGATCAGGTAGAACTGAGCCCTTAATTTTTCCTTAATTTTTTTATCCAGAAATCAAAAAAACTTGTCGTAGGAACAACGTTGCTAGAAGAGCACGTGAAAGCAAACCTGGACAGCAAGCAAATATGAATGAAGTCAACCTAGAGGACAGACCTCAACCTCATGTCCACACCATGCGAGACTACACAACACCTTCTCTAAATGGAGCTATCTCAAGTATCACTAGGATTAGGGTGGAGGCTAACAATTTTGAGATTAAACCTGCTATTATCCAAATGCTTTCCATCTCAATTCAATATGGAGGTCTGCCCAACGAAGATCCTAATCCTAATGCCCATATCATAAATTTCCTAGAGATTTACGATACTTTCAAATAAAATGGAGTTTATAAGGATGCCATAAAACTAAGACTCTTTCCTTTCACTCTAAGGGATAAAGCACATTCTTGGTTACAATCATGCCCTACTGGAAGTTTAACAACATGGGAGGAATTAGCTCAAAAATTTTTGACAAAATTCTTTCCATCTTCAAAGATCACAGAGCTGCGCAATGAGATAATGACCTTTGTCCATCATGACCAAGAGAGTATGTATGAAGCTTGGGAGAGATTCAAGGACTTACTTAGGAAGTGCCCGCATCATAGTTTGCCCAAGTGGTTACAGGTACAAACTTTTGCTAATGCATTATCTCATAACATTAAGATTACTCTAGATGCAGCTGCAGGTGGATCTCTTGAAAGAAAAGAAATTGCTGAGGCATATGACTTGATAGAAGAGATGGTAAGTAATAACCATTATCAAAGCAACTCTGAAAGGAAAAAGACTATAGGAGTTTATGAGATTAGTTTATGAGATTGATGCCATTACCGCACTCAATGCCAAGGTAGACAATATGGTAAGGAAGTTGGACTTATTGACTACTAACTCGGTTAATTCTATTGTTCAAGCATGGGACAGGGGTAATAGGCAACATGGGATTGGAGAATGCACTTGGATTCATTAAATCCGCAAACTTTGGAGCAAGTAAACTATGTGATGAATCAAGGAAGGAAGAATTACCTATATTCTAACTCTTATGATAACATGTTGAGGAATCATCCTAATCTTTCTTATAGGAATCCAAACAACGCCTTGAATGCACCACCACCTTGAATGCACCACCAGGTTTTCTGCCTCAAGAGAAAAAGACTCATGATGATCTCCTTACTGCCCTCTCTAAATCTCATATGGACTTCATGAATGAAAATCGAGAAAACAACAAAATTCAACAATCTGCAATGAGGAACTTCAAGATTTAATTACGATAGTTTGCAAACATGATGGCTTCCCGACCTCAAGGTACGTTACCTAGTAATACTGAAAAGAATCCTAAAGAACAAGTACAAGCTATCACCTTGAGGAGTGGCAAACAATCGAAAGATTCGACCAGAAAGGAGGAAGAGAAGGAATAGCAGAAAAAGATCCCCATCATTGACCTTGAAGAGAAGGAGGAAGTAAAACCGTATGCTCCACTAGTTCTTTTCCTCAAAGGTTAAAGAAAACACAAGATGACAAGAGTTTCCTCAGGTTTCTTGATGTCTTCAAAAAGCTTCAAATCAACATCCCTTTTGCTGAAGCCCTTGCTCAAATTCCCAGTTATGCAAAGTTCTTAAAGGAGATCCTGAGCACGAAAAGGAAGATCGATGATCAAGGAACAATAATGTTGATAGAGGAGTGTAGTGCAATCGTTTAAAATAAATTGCCTCCAAAATTAAAACATCCAGGAAGTTTTTCTATCCCTTGTAACATTGAAAATCTTGATTTTGAAAAAGCTTTAGTAGATTATTGAAAATCTTGATTTTGAAAAAGCTTTAGTAGATTTAGGTACTAGCATTAATCTTATGTCTTATGAAGTTTTTAAGATGCTAGGGATGGGAGAGTTGAAACCAACAAAGATATCTTTATAGTTGGCAGATCGATCAATCAAATACCCAAAAGGGATTGTAAAAGATGTGCTCGTCAAGGTAGGTAAATTTATCTTTCCTATTGATTTTGTTATTCTTTACATTGATGACGATAGAGAAGGATCCTTAATCCTTGGAAGACCCTTCCTTGCAACTGCAAGAGCATTGATTTATGTGTATAAAGGTAAATAAACTTTGAGGTAGGAAGTTGTTTTTTATGTTCTTAAATCTTGTAAGCTTCCTATGGATTATAATGACTGCTTTAGGATTGATGCTATTGATGAATGTGTGAAGGACATTGACACCTTGAATGTAAAAAATAAATTGGACTCCAACAAAGTGGCATTAATAATCAAAACATCAAAGATGAGAAAGAGAGTGAAGCGCCAAAGCAAGAATTAAACAACTTCCATCTCATTTGAAATATGCATTCTTAGGTGAGAACAATTATTTTCCTGTTATTATTTCTTCTCACTTAACACTCGATTAAAAGGAAAGGTTGTTGCAGGTTGTAGGAAAGCATAAAAAAGCCATAGGATGGTCAATTTCAGATTTGCAGGGAATACGTCCAGGTGTGTGCATGCACAAGATCTTGATGGAGAAAGACTACAAACCTTTAATTGAGCATCAAAGAAGGTTGAACCCAACATGAAAGAAGTAGTCAAGGCTGAAATCATAAAGCTTTTGGATGCTAGCATTATCTATCCAATTTCCGATAGCAGTTGGGTAAGTCCCATTCAAGTTGTCCCAAAGAAAGGAGGTATAGGTATGAAAGTTATTTCACAAAATTAATGAGTTAATTCCTACTAGAACTGATCAGCACAAGGTTGGGCGCGTGTGTATTGATTATAGAAAATTGAACAAGCAACACGCAAAGATCACATTCCCTTTTACCTTTTATTGATCAAATGCTTGGAGAGACTTGCCAGGTTTACACCATACTAATTTTTTCTAGATGGTTATTCAAGGGTATGTTCAAATACTATAAGCTCCCGCCAGGATCAAGAGAAGATCACTTTCACTTGCCCTTATGGCACTTTTTGCTTATAGGAGAATACTTTTGGATGGTGCATGCTCCTGGCGACTTTTCAAAAAGGTGCATGATGTCTATATTTTCTGACATGGTTGAGAAGTTCATTTGAAATATTTATGGATGATTTTTTCTGTGTTTGGGGTTCTTCTTTTGCATTCTTGTCTTATACTCTCTTTAGTAATGCAGCGAAGTGAGGACACTAAACCTTATTTTGAAATTAGGAAGAAATGTCATTTTATGGTTAGCTGAATGTATTTGTTTTAGGCACAAAATCTCAGAAAAGGGGGATTGAAGTGGACAAGGCCAAGATAGAGGTAATTGAAAAGCCTACCACTCAAAATTCAATAAAGGGAGTAAGGAAGCTTTTTCTTTTAGTCATGCGGGTTCCTAAATAGGCAGATTTATCAAGGATTTCTCCAAAATACAAAAACCTCTTTGTAATTTATTAATTAAGGGATGTTCTTTTGATTTTTAACGAAGAGTTTTAAATGCTTTTAACAGGTTAAGAAAGAATTGATTTCAGCTCCTATCATTGCCATAATCCAGATTAGAGCCTACCTTTTGAACTCAATGGTGTGATGCTAGTGGATCATGCTATAGAGTTGTTTCTTGGGCCAGAGAAAGAAAGAAGTTGCCCATGTCATTTAATTATGCTAGTCGCACATTAAATGATGCCAACAAACAATTGAATTATGCCACCACTGAAAAAGAGCTTCTAGCTATTGTTTTTGCTTTTGATAAATTTAGAGCATATTTGATTGGAGCTAAAACAATAGTTTACATTGATCACTCAACTATTAAATATTTGTTAGAAAAGAAAGATGCAAAGCCTAGACTAATTCGTTGGGTTCTTCTTTTGCAGGAGTTTGATTCAGAGATTCATGACAAGAAGGGAACCGAGAACCTTGTAGTTGATCACTTATCCAGGCTTGAGTTGGGGGAAGAAAAGCAGGCAGAGTAGCAAATTAATGAAGACTTCCCCCATAAACATCTTCTTCTTCTAGCAAATCTCCAAGCTCCATCGTATGCTGACATAGTAAACTACCTTGCTTATACTATTACTCCTCCCAATCTTTCTTATCAACAAAAGAAAAAAATTTTTCAATGATGTTAAATATTACTATTGGGAGGAGCCTTTCTTATTTAAGTATTGTAGTGACCAACTCTTCAGATGATGTGTGCCGGAAGAAGAGATGCAAAGCGTCCTTCATTTCTATCATTCAATGGAATGTGGAGGACATTTTGGAGCAAGCAAGACGGCAGCACGTATTTTAGAAAGCGATTTGTATTGGTCTAACTTATTTAAAGATGCTTTTAACGTTGTTCGTCTTTATGATCGTTGTCATAGGTTAGGTAATATTTCTAAGAGACATGAGATGCCATTAAACAATATCCTTGAAGTGGAGATCTTTGATGTATGGTGCTTGGATTTCATGGGACCATTCCCATCTTTTTATTCTAGGGACATTCCATCTTTTTATTCTAATCAATACACTTCTAGTAGCAGTGGATTATATCTCGAAATGGGCAGAAGTTGTTGCCCCTTCCAATAATGATGCCAAAAGTGTGATGAATTTCATCAAGAAATATAATTTTCAACCCTCATGGTACTCCTAGAGCAATAATCCACTGACGGAGGTAAAGCAACTTTTGCAACATGACTTAGAATCCCTTCTTTCCGAAATATGGTTGTTACTCAATCGTGTAGCTACCCCATTATCACCCCTCAAAACAAGTGGACAAAGTGGAGGTCACATAATAGGGAAATCAAGAAGATATCAGGAGACGTAAGAGTTGGCCAATTCAAAGGAAGGACTGGTCTAGGAACTCGATGAATGCTCTTTGGGCCTATAGAACTGCATTTAAAACAACCAATTGTAAATGTGAGTTGGCCAATCAAGGAAGGACTGGTCTAGGAAACTCGATGATGCTCTTTGGGCCTATAGAACTGCATTTAAAACACCAATTGGTATGTCTCGGCCAATCGCCCGTCCTCCAACCATTCCTCCTCCTACGGCTCCTGCGCCTCCTCCATTTGAGATCGACTCACTAGAACAACAGGAAAGGTACAATAAACTCTCTTTTCGCCCTATTTTGCCAAATCGTTTTATTGATGAATCCGCATTAGCACAAGTAAGGCTTAAAGATGCTATTTTAGAACCCCTTAAGCATATTGGATGGGAATAGTTTATTGCCATGAAAGACCTTGTTTATGCGCCTATGACCTGATAATTTTTGAGTTCATATTCTACTCTTATTCGTCTGTTGCTTGTTGATTTCCCTAGCAAAATTACATTCAGGCTTTTTAGGAGAAATTATGAGCTTTCCATTAATGAGGTTAGTCACATCTTTGGTTTTGCCACTGAAAATGCCCTTAATCAAATACCCACAGATTTTATAGATTGAAGCACATGAACCACTTTGACTGGTGATTTTCACTATAATCCTAGATTTTCAAAAGCTTCTAAATTGAGAAACCCGGCCTGTAGATATATTCATAAATTTTTGGCCAACACTATTTTTGGGTGAAGTGAGAGTGATGAAGTGTTGAGTCAAAATGAATTATATTTTATCTGGGCAATAGATCAAGGTCTATTACTTAATGTTGCCTATTGGTTGTGCTTACGATGGGCTAGAGTTGCAAGGGCAGATAAAGGAGCTATTATGATGG